CCCCCCCCCCCCCCCCAAAAAAAAACAAAAACAAAAACATTTATAACATTTAATTTCAACCTTGGATATAGAAAATTTGTTCTCTCAGTCCCATTCATGTAGTCTTTTAGTAGCTGGGGATGATATTCTAATATCTCACGGAAGATTAGCTCTTGAATGTCTTCTTTTATTACCCTCCGCCTCTCAAATTCAAATTCCATCTTTGTGATTGGCTGGCAGGAAGGTTCCCTCTCAATTTTCGCCAATCCCTTGAAGTATGGATCTGCCAATGCCTAACGGAACGACCCGAATAATTCAAATAAGCATATTCAAAAAAGGCCCGTCGAGGTTAAAACAAAGAATTTACAGAAGAATGCAAGACCTCTTCAGCAGTTGGCCTATCTTTTGGATCAAAAGCAAGCAACCTTTCTAATAGCCTCAGCGCTAAAGGATCAGCATTTGGAAACTTTTGAGCAAATGAAACCGGCTGCTTTTTCCGCATGGTCGTTAAATATCGTCTAGCCTTGTCGTTACGAACCTATATTCAACAGAAGAACCTTGTTAACTACAGTAAATCAAGGAATCTTTTACGGAATAGTGTTTGGCCTTGAAATTTTCGCCTACCCTGGAGATTGTATCTAATGAAGGAGTTCCAAGAAGGTCCGTCATCAAATCGAGCTGGTGAACAACGTTTTTGCCAGGAAAAAGTGGCTTCCCCATTAATACTTCAGCAAATATGCAGCCAATACTCCAAATATCAATTGCAGGTGTATACTGTAGATAAATAGCCAGAATGATTATGATAATAAAGCATGTTACAGACCATACACAATTAAAGTTCGTCAAGCAAGCATCAGCATTCGGAAAGTATCGACTATGCAAGTGACAGCCTCGAGGGGAATCTCAAAAAGGAAAACCCAAAGAGAACAATATCTGCTGGCGGAGGGCATGAGCCGTTACAATTGCTGACAAGATACTCTACACGAAGCATACCTTGGAGAAAAACGAACCACATAGCTCCGGAGCTCGGTACCATCTAGTAGCAACATAATCCTACGTTTCATCAAATACAAAACACTTTATTTTTTATCAATTCAAACCAAGAACACAAGATACATATCATTGATTTTTCTACAAATCTTAAGAAAACGGCATACCGTCCAGAAAACTGTCGTTGGCGTGTCACTAAACGCAACTCTTGCCAATCCAAAATCACAAATTTTAAGTTTACAATTTGCATTCGCCAATATATTCTTTGGTTTCAAATCCCGATGGTAGACATTCGCTGCAACATGAAGCTTCGAGTCAGATATGACCAAAATGATACCTAATGAAACCTTACAAAACCAATCAAGGCAGAGTAGCACCTGTATGAATATACTTTAACGCACGAAGAAGTTGATAGAGAAAAAACTGATAGTGTTCTCGAGTCAGATCATCGTTTGCTTTAATAACTTGATGAAGATCAGATTCCATGAGCTCAAAAACAACGTAGATATCTTTGAAGTCCCTCCTTGAAGGAGGGAGCATAATGTGTTTAATTTCAACAATATCAGGATGACGAAGAAGTCTAAGCAGCTTTATCTCACGGAGAATTCTGACAGCATCAGATATATGCTCAAAAATATTATGAATCTTCTTTATAGCAACCTTGTCGCCGGTGCGAGTGTCGATAGCAGAACACACCACACCATAGCTTCCTTTCCCGATTACCTCCTGAATTTTGTATCGACTGGCATCGCCATAATCAGAGAAGAACTCCACTTCGGTTGAATTCTGTTGCATAAACTGATTAGAGAAGAATCCTGAACTAAAATTCAATTTCATTCTCAACTAAAATAGCTAAACAGATCAGATTTACATAGCTAACATTTCAATGATCTGTTTTCGCGCTAACAGAAATGAAAACGATGAACAAATAACAAACTAAAGTTCATCTGTAAATCTTGTTGTTGCAAGAAACACAAGGAGATTCATCAATCAGGTAAGTCAAGCGAGAGAATCACCTTTTTGTGTTGATCTTGCTGCATTCTGGGCAAAATGAGGGAAGTCCAAACTTCTGAAGCGAGAAGAACTTCAAGATTTTAAAAGAAAACACTCAGAAAAGTCCAAACCGCTACCAAATCGTTCTCATAAGATCAGCCACATTTGAGCTGCTGTTGGCCGCCTACCTACCGGATCACAAGTACAGAAGCCCACCATTTCCACTACCCTTCCCCAATCCTCCAATAAATCAAAACCCCCCAATAAACCTGAAGCAAATCGAAAATCGATCCACCTCCTATTTTTACAACAAACAAAAAAATACAATGACGCCTAAAAATCTAAAAATCTACACATCCGGTAACAGCCGACACTAAATAGTCAATATACAGATCTAGAAAAACTTAAAATATTTTCCAAATTCCACCTCCTCGCGAATTCGAACTAGTCGAAAATTTTAATACTAGAAAACAAATCAACTCCCTCAATCTCAAATTCTCGTCTAAATTAGAGCGGCGAAATAACTCGGAATCGACCGATAAAATGGAAGCTCCAAGATCTGCACCGCACCGACAAAAAAATTAAGGGAGAGAGAGAATCCAGAGGAGAAATGGGAGGAGGAAAATCCGGTGGTTTAAAAAGGAACAGATTGAGGACTAATGGAGTATATAGGAGCCTGTCCGATATTTTGTTTTTCTTTTTTCGTCACATTTTGAATTTTAAAAGTGTTCAATTCTATAAAATAATAAATTAATTTTTAATAAATCTTTTTAGTCTCTAAACTTATTTTAAATTGTTAATTAGTCTTTTTTTAATGTAAATTATTGTTCTTAAAATTAACTTTAAACATGAGTTAAAATAACTAAATTAAAAAATATAGTTTTAAAACGTTGAAATGAAATTCGAAATATAAAAAACTAAAATGGTACTTTTATTTTATTTATTTATTTATTTATTTTGTTCCCGCTAATGGCATGTTAAGAAATGCACGCACCATGCAGGTAAAAAAGGGAAAGGAAGGAAAGAGAGGGTACAATGGTAATTTTGGAAGAATGCGGGGGTATTTCGGGAAGAGAGTCTTTTTTATTTCTTTTTCATGTATTTTGAAGGAGAAGGGAGATTCTGTAGTGCGATTCCATTCAGGCACCTGTCTGTGTTCCCAGTTTTAAGGGTAGATGGGATTGGGGAAGAGGGGCCGATGGTTGCCACGTCATTATGCCACGTGTTATATTTTTTCCTGAATAGTCGTTGTTCAGTCCTTCTGGGACCCACTTTGGACGTTTAGCTGTCACACGCTTTCCCTACCCCCAAGACCCAACAAAATTGTAAAAGAAATAAAAATTATTTATTTTCTTTAACCGATAACAATACTGCCAATAACGCCTTCCCGTTTTAATTAAATTCTTATTTAACTGCCAAAAAAACGTTTTTTTTTTTAATATTTTATTTATACAGATTATATTTGATTTAAGTAATTTAACTTGTAACTTCAAACAATTTCTAATTATTAATCAATTTTTAAATTTAAGAAACAGAATGGGCTCAATTATCTGAAATGGATGTCTAATTTAAATAAACATTTAGTTAAATTATCATTTAATCTTGTAAGACTTGGGTTCATTTTAGTTTTAATATATCATTCTGCACATTTTATAATTATTTGTCAATAAGTTATTGTAATTTAAGTATTTATTATTATTTATGATTAGATGAAGTATTTATATAATCACTTCATAAAAAGAGAATCTTTTTTTGTGAATTAGAACTTGTGCTAATAGTACTACGTTATTAAAAAAAAAAAACTATATATTAACTTTTAAATAATTAAAATGTCTCACATAAAATTAAATATAGGATTTATTTAGTTTGAAGCCTAAAACTAAATAATTAATATTCGAAAATGTAACCCTATTACGGAGCGTTTAAGTAAACTTAGCCCGTGAAGCATATGTGAAAAAGGCTTTAAAGGTGGGGTCCACTACATTACAGTTTCTTGTACAAATGTCCAATAATAAAACATCTACAAAAAATTCTCAACCGTAAGAAAATAATAATAAAAAGAAAAATAAATTATGAAACCTGCAACTGTCAGACAATTGATCAAATACGAACGGAGACAAAATGAATAATTATAAATTTATTCATCGCATTGTCGGTAACAAAAAAAGTAAATAAATAATGTTTTTTTTAGTAAGGACGTTGAAGAACCATCCGTAGATAGAAACCAGGTAGCGACAATACCTAATTACAAACGTCGACGTTTCATCCAACGTGTTTATGGCCTTCGTAATTAAAAATTAATTAATATTGGTAGCTAGTATTATTCCAAAATATAATTAATCAGTGTTGTTTGACACTAGAGTATATTATATGGTAGAGAGATTTTTTTATTTATTATTATTATTTTTTTTTTGGTATAAATCGAAAGTAAATTTCAAACTTCTTAAAGTTTTAAAGTTACAAAAAAAAAAAAAAAAGCATGTAATTCAAACCACAATCATATAGTTTGTATTAAATAATAATAATAACGACAAATAATAATGGAGTGGATCGAAAGGCATGTATATATATATAATATCTTTTCATGTATTTAAAAATTCAAAATTTTCATTATTGAATTTACAGAGAGAAAAAAAATCCCACTTAAAACATAACTACTAAGATTATTTGAAAATATTATATATGTGCAAAAAAAAAAAAAGAGTTTTATAACGGAAAAAAGTTTTACTTTTTTGTTTTATGTCTAATATGTATTTAAAATAAAATAAAAAAAAAATAGTCCATAAACTTTTGTCAGAATTATAATTTATTTAATGGTGAGTGGAATAGGACAAATAGGGCGAAAGCTTTACGAAAGCTATTTTGAGAGGGGCTTTGTTCTGTAAAGGGAAGGCATAAGGCAATAATGGAGAGTGAAACAGTGTTTAGGTGGAGGATTTTCCAATAAATAATTAATTAAAAACCCCATAAAGAAATAACACTTGGATATTATAAAACAATACAATTATAAATATATTGATATTTTGAGGCTTTAGCAGTCATTAATTGCTTGACATTCGTAACAATTGGTCTAAAAACTATGTTGGAAAAAAGTATAAAAATAATTAAATAATGTAAAATTAATTTTAACTGAGCAGAGGCTTGGGAGTGAAGTAAAGGGAAAGCGAGGTTGGATGGCGGTCCTAACCTAGAATCGCGACGTTTCTCCGTCTCGCACAATCGTGACCGTACATCTTGTTGGAAAAGTCAACTGTGGGACTCCCATCGCTAATTTTCTTAAAAGCATATAAATAAACTACACAGAATATACTTGGCTTGGGGTTGGCTTGCGTGTGGTTACTGTAGGTCCACGTGGGCATGTGAAGGGTTTTCTTCAAGTGGTGGACGTGGAAGAGTTGGGGCCCACCTCAAGGAGTGTCGGCTCAGTTGCACCTAACGGACAAAACTGAAGTGTCCAGCTCACGTGATCTTAATTTTATGCCCTCTGGCATCTGCCTGTGTTCCCGTTCGGTTCGGTTGCTGGGGAATTCTTTTTTATTTTTATTTTTTTAAAAAGATTAGAAGGATGGGCTTTAAAGGTCCAAAGGCCTGACTATCTTTAAAGCCCAAATACAATATTGGTCTGGACTATTTTGCCAATGGAATTTGGGCCAGAGGCCCAATGTTCTCTTTCCAAGTAAATATTTAATACCATTTTATCTTTCTTTCATTTAAAACTCAATTCAAATAATATATTTGGCCTAAGAATAAAATTTTATTTGCGAGTGATGCTTAAATTTAGTCCACTTAGAATCACGACCCATTTCCTTTTCATTTTTTTAATGAAATGACTTTTGATCTGACTCGAAAAACTTGTTACACTAAGAAATAAAATCTTTAGGCTTACATATTAGGCAATGTAGTCCATACCATAACATAACAAGAAAATTGAATTATGGTCCATGTTTTTCAATTTTGTAGTAAAAAATGTTCAGATCTGATCAAATTGAGATATTACATCCTAATTATTTTTTTCTCGGACCATTTTAGGTAATTTTTTAAAGGGCTTCATAGGTGACTTTTTTTTTCATTTTTCAAGTGAACGTCATTACGATGATAAGAACACATCATGTGCATACATGCATAATTTAACATAAATTCCAAACATTCCATTAAAGAATAAATCTTCAATTCCTTAACCTTAAAAATAACAAACAAACAAACAAACGACTACAATGAATTCAAAAAAACGGCAATCACCAACATTTTAAGTAGAATTATAGAAGTAATAAACATTACAAATTTGTTGATTAAATTTATTAAATTGGAATGAAAAGGTCAACGTTTGTTCGGTGGCTTATTTGTCAAGATTTCAATTTCTTTTTTCCAACACATTTCTGATATTTTTCTCTAAAATCCTAACAAAATAATTAATAATAATAATTATGGGCATTAATTAATTTCCCCTACAATAAATTATCATTTAGTTTGGTACTACAGATTCACATTATTTCTTCTTCTTTTCTACTTTTTCCTCCTCGACTCATACGTACCAATAAAGACTGTGTACGCTTTAAAGTAGAGATCGACCTTAGGTAGACGAGAAGAAACGAACCATATTCAAACCATTCAAAAAGAAAAGTGAATACGAGTCGAATCGAGTCGAGTCAGATGCCGAAAAGGGAGAACCAAGAAAACAAAAATGAGAGGAGGAAATCAGAATGATGTAAATTAAAGGCAAGACAGGTGGGCCATGTCCGGTGGTCCTTCAGACAAGTCTGTACAATCTCTCTCTCTTAAACCCTTTTGTCTGTGTGAGCAAACACCAGAAGCTCGATCGACCACCATCAATTCAAATCTCTCTAGAAAAAAACAGCTTTCTTTTTGTTGACATGAACATGGAGAGCCTGGGAGGTGCAATCATTTCCCATGCTCATGCGTTTCTCACTTCTATCCTCCATGGCTTGTCTCTGATTTTTGGCTCTCTGATGCCCCACCCATCTGATCACAACCTGATATTTCGTTCAACGGCTCGATCTCCAAGCTTATCGATCGGCTTTTTCGGTTTCTTCTATCCTGCAAAGTTGTATGTAAACATAAACTTTCCAATCATTTCTTTGAACCATGATGGTTCATAAACCAGTTAGTCCACTCCTAATAGATGCGGTCCTCTTTGGTCTTTCCCTCAAAGTTTTTAAAATGATTATGCTAGAGAGAGATTTCCACACCCTTATAAACAATGCTTCATTCCCCTCTCCAATCAAGGTGGGATCTCACGACCAACCCCCTTCAGAGCCCAGTGTCCTCGCTGACACTCGTTCCTCTCTCCAATCAATGTGGGATCTCACGTAGACATATCCAGATGATGATATAGTAACATGACAATGCATTCTAGTAAACTCAAATGACTCGGGTTTCCTAGCCAAACCCGCCTAGTTAAGTGTTTTGGCTAGTAATTAATGAAGTTTGATGAGTTAGCTGCCAACACAGCCATGCCAAAGCAGGACCACCTTCTACATGCATCTAACAAGTAGCAGCAGATGTGTCCAAAAACTTGGTCACAATAGACTTAAATGCAGGTTAACAAGAATTTAATAGCCATTGTCCTATAATATTCTCCAGGTTAGGTAACTGCAAACTCCTCACATGGTGAAGCCAGAGAAACTTGAATCAATATTGTTACCTAATGCATACCTATATTGGAACCATGTTCTTTTAAAGAAAATCATCATTGTAGAGCTAACCAAGTATATCAGTGAAACGCTTGAAATGTAAACAAACGAGAACGGACGATAATCGATCATGCAGTCACGAAAACAAGATACTGATTTTGGTACCTCGTGAAGTGGAAATTCATCGGCTTCGAGCATCCTTACAACTTGACTCATCTTGGGTCTCTTGATTGATTCGGGATCGATACACCGAAGTGCAACGAGAAGGGCACGTTTCAATGCTCGAGTAGTAGGCTTTACGTCGAGATTCATGTCCACAACTTCCTCTGCTCTCCTTGTTGCTACCATCATCTTTAGCCACTCAACAAGATTAACCTAACAAAAGGATTCAAATATGTAAAGTAAGACATTCCAAAAAAAAAAAAAGAACAAAGTTTTCATATTAACACAAACAGGTCGGGATATAGGAGAACACAAATGAACATTGTCCTCTTTGAGCTTTCTCTCAAGGTTTTTAAAACGCGTCTGCTAGGGAGAGGTTTCCACACCATATTAAGGAATGTTTCGTTCATCTCTCCAACCGATGTGGGATCTCACAATGGTCTAATATGGTCTAATATGGTCTAAAAAATGGTCTAATAATGGATACCTCGTTAGAAGGACGAGCATAATCCACAGGGTCTCTCCCTGTAATTGCTTCTAGTAGGAGAACACCAAAGCTATAAATGTCACTCTTTTCATTCAACAAACCGGTATTTGCATATTCAGGTGCCACATACCCAAATGTTCCCATAACTCTAGTTGTGATATGACTCTCCCGAGAGTCCAAGAGTTTGGCCAATCCGAAATCGGAAACTTTGGCATTGAACTCATCATCGATCAAAATGTTGCTCGATTTTATATCTCTATGAACAACTTTTGGCTCGATTGCTTCATGTAAATATGCAAGCCTGCACGAAGTAAACATATTTGCATCTCAGATAAACAAGTCTCTAAGCTAAAAGTCGACTATATTACTTTGGTTTTATGGTAGTTCCTTATGTTCAAAGACTTACGCCTTCGCAGTGCCAAGAAGCACCTTCATACGAGCCTCCCACGTAAGCGTGCCGTGTTGGCTCATGGCTCCATGTAGCCACTGTTCTAGATTGCCATTGTTCACATATTCATAGACCAGCATCCTACATGAAGAAAACAGGGAAAAACTAGCATCCTTGAGAGCAATAAGCAAAATTCAGATATGCATACACAAAATGGAACAAAATTTGTTTATGGAGACTAAAATAGTTGATGACTTCTTTGGTTGTACCTATGAACGCCTTCTATGCAATAACCGAGCAATCGAACGAGATTCTTATGTCGAACATGACCAATAGCCTCCACTTCGACTCGAAATTCTTTCTCTGCCTGACCCCTAAATGCATTTCAAATCATAAAACAAGCTTTCGAAAAGCATTATATTAGAATAGAACATCATGGATCTTTGAACAATAAATCCTTACAGATTATTGAGAAGCTTTTTCACTGCAACTACAGTGTCATTGATGAGTCTTCCTTTATATACAACCCCATATCCTCCCTCTCCAAGAATATTTTCGGACGAAAAACGATTCGTTGCAAGCTGTAGATCCCTGAGAGTGAACCAGTGACCCCATCCAAGATGTGAAACTTCAGGCAAGCCAACAAGAGGCGACGGTGGCACAATTCCTCCATACGATCTAGCTTTTCCAGAGCTTCCTTCTTCCCCTGATTGTGAATTGCCTGCTTTTTCGTGTCGATAATTCAAACTGCTTTGGCTGTTATTATCAGGCTCAGTTGAGTTTGTCACAGCCATAACTTCAGAGTTTTCATCATTCCTTTTGATATCAACCGAAAGAAGTCGATTTTCGGGGTGGTCATTGGGAGTTTGAGTTTGAGTTTGAGTTTGAGCCCCAACCTGGTCTATCCTGATATCTTTTGAAAAATTAGGTATCTGGGAAATAGGGAATTTATCCATGGATCGTTTAGATTTTTTTCTAAACAAGATCCACATAGATAATAAGCCAAGAATCAAAACTATGAATGCACCAATACAAATACAGATCAAAACCCACAACGACAACCCCCAAAATGAAGTCCTCTTGGATAAATGATCATTCAATGAATTCCCAGACGCCATATCTGATCCACCCAACACTGAATTTCAAGTTCAACCTCAAGTTCTTATCAAATTTCACAAACCCATCTGGAAATTCAGGCAGGAAATAAGTCAGCACTTGTAAAGAACAAGAACCAGCAGTTGATTGATAAGACCAAACAATGAAGGGATGTTCTCCATAACAAAAACAAGTAAACCCACAATTTGTCGATCCAAAACAAGAAGACAGGACAATGTAATTGGAGAAATAGAGAAGGATTTGAAGAACAAGGGATTTACCTGATGAAGCAATCGAAGATAGACCCAGATTTCGGCGTTCCTCCAGGAACCCAGAAAGGGAAAGAAAGCAAAGCGTGGATAGGCAATGGAGCCCCAAAAGGCATGGGGGAAATGCCAAAATGTTGGTCTGAAATAACTCAAACCCAACAAATCCAGAGCCCCCAAAGAGACATAGTCGAAAAAGGAGCAATAAAGAAGCAGGGATAGTGGGCCAATGGGAAATTGTGAGAATGATAAAATAGAAGATGGAAGAGGAGAAGGGCACACACAAACAAAAATCTAATCCTTAGAGAGAGAAAGAGATTGAATAAGATAACTGGAGAGGATTTAAAGGGTGAAAATGGTTGGTGGGTATTGTAAAGGAAGCTCGGTTTGCAATGGAGGAAACCACAGAGAGCAAAAGCAAACAGTAAAGGAAGCGAACCCAGAAGAAGAAGAGCTCCCAAAAGAGCGTTATAAGAGATGATCCTGGTGGTTAATGGCATTAATTCCAGAAGTGGGCCGTAATCATTTGGAGCAAAAGGAAAAGGGCATAACCAAGAAAACGGTGAAACTAAAAGATCAAAAGAAACGCAACCAAAATTAAATTATAAAGGGAAGCCGCCGACGTGAGCATTGGAATGGATTCAAGCTTCTGTTCTTATTTCTTCTTCTCGATATCACATGTCGCTTCTATCTGACTGCAGCATGCTCACTAATGGACTAAGACCTTGACCACTCTCCTCCCTCGACCTTTTTCTTCCTTCGATTATCAAAATAGATATATTTTAATTTAAATGATCATATTAAAAAATAAGAAATTTTGAGTTGGGAATTGGTTGAATTAGGTGTACAACAGATTGGGATTATTTGGTTTGATTTCATAATCCTTCAATTTTGTCTTATTTTTTCAAAATATTTTAGGTGGACTCAACATTTGAAATTACATTGAAGAGAGTGATTTAATTTTGATTAAATGGATTTAATTTGGTTTTAAATTTGGGTGAAATGCATATAGCAACCAATTTCCTTTAATTCTACTTAACGTCTATATTTGAAAGACAGCTTCATCTTTTCTTTTTCATCCCAAATAAAATTAATGTACAGACTCCTCCTCCAAAAATATCAAAAATATATATATATTTTGAAGTCCAATGATATTATCTAAAGAAACGAAGTTCGAGAATAATATTCTACCACTAGTGATTTTCAAACGGACCCATTTATTTACTATCTATTATTTGATTGACTAATGCTTTCTATGGCGGAGGAGTTTTTTTAGTTAAATAACATTTTTGGGTATGGTAATTTGTTGGAAGATTTAATTTATTTTTATTGTTTTAAGATGTCGGAACTTGGAATGATTTGATTGAGTTAGAATTCATAAATTAAAATTTATGGCCTTTTTTTGTAAACTAAAACGATTAAGCAAAGCAAACCGAAGATTAAAGGAAAAGCTTGATAGTTCCATAACATGAAACACCCAAATATTTAGAACACATTAGGAAGTAGAAGCTAAATAGGAGGAGGAGTGATGATCACTTTCCAGGTACAAAGTTAGTGGCAAAAGCCCAAGCGTTGTTGTTAACAGGGTCAGCCAAATGGTCAGCCAAGTTCTCCAAAGGTCCTTTCCCTGTCACAATTGCCTGCACAAAGAATCCAAACATCGAAAACATTGCCAATCTTCCATTCTTCAGCTCCTTCACTTTGAGCTCGGCGAAGGCCTCTGGGTCGTCCGCCAGCCCCAATGGGTCGAAGCTCCCCCCTGGGTAAATTGGGTCCGTGATCTCACCCAGCGGCCCACCCGCAATTCTGTACCCCTCCACGGCTCCCATCAGCACAACCTGGCAAGCCCAGATCGCCAGAATGCTCTGCGCGTGAACCAAGCTCGGGTTCCCCAAATAGTCGAGCCCACCCTCGCTGAAGATCTGAGACCCGGCTTTGAACCACACGGCCTCGCCGAACTTCACGCCGTTGCGAGACAGAAGCTCCGGGAAGACGCACCCAAGAGCCCCAAGCATGGCCCACCTCGAGTGGATCACTTCCAGCTCACGGTTTTTGGCGAAGGTCTCTGGGTCGGCAGAGAGGCCAGCAGTGTCCCAGCCGTAGTCGCCGGGGAACTCGCCGGTAAGATAGGAGGGGGGCTCGCCGGAGAATGGGCCCAAGTACTTGACACGATCTGGGCCGTACCATGGGCTACCGGAGGAGACGGGCTTGGGCCTGCCAGCGGTTTTCCTCATGGTGACACGGCTCTCGCCGAGGAGGTTGGAGGCAGCGGCGGGGGATAATTTCACGGCTTGGCCGGCGAGAGATGGGGAGGACAAAGCCATTGATGAAGCTGCTGCCATTTTCGTTGTTGCTGTTGTTTTCTCTTTGAGTTGAGTGAAGATGACGAATTTAGTTAAGGGTTTGGTTTGTTTTATAGAAGTAGAAGAGAATAGGTCCTCATCCTGATGAGATCTCTATCTATTTTCTCATTGGCGAAAACGAAACGGGAAGATTTTTTTGGCGATGGAGAAGTGGGACAGGACACACCTTTGCAACTGGCACTCTCTCGTCCACAAATGCCTCGGTAGGAGCTTTCTATGGCTTTCATGTGGAGCTACTTCCATCTCCATATTTTGCTGCTTCACTGTCTCAGCCAATGACACAAGGCCACGTCCTCTTTATCTTCCATATCATGGGACTTCCGATGATAAGGATAAGAAAAGGAGAGAGCTTTATGGATTTGCCTTTCCTCATTGGTGGTAAATCTAATAAATAATGCTTCAGCTGTGTAAGCTCTTTATCTTTGATATCATGGCACTTTCTTTGAGATATTAATTGACCACCATATACAAGTCATTAACGATGTCAAACAAATTGATAGAGATAAAGCATAAATGTGAAGTGTATAACACAATAAAAGAGCGAGAAAAGAGGGGGCATATAAAAAATTTTCAAGGAGAGATTTTGCATTGAAACACAGAAATTGATAGTTAGTTTCTGTATGGTAGGCTAGGCTTATCAAACTCAACCAACGTAATGTATGTTCCCATCAGAACTAGGGTGATACATAATATGGGTAATTTTACAACATACTCTGCAAAACTTGAAGCTTCTAGGGAAGCAAAAATTGTACAACAATTTTCCCCTCAAAGAGAACGACCAATCCTTGGCTACTATGTGCAGAGAGGCGGGGAAAAGAAAAGGAGAATGGAAAGCATATAGAACCTCCATGTATGCGCGGCTGCAGGTTTGATTACCTCTCACATGTGATGTCAGTCATCAACTTTTGTTGAAATATACAGAGCAGGTGTCAAAGCATCGTCAAACTCTCAACATTCATCTTCCCGTATGTTAGATTTTGTATCTCTGGTCATGATTTATTTCATGTAAACATGAGCAGCCTTAATCGGTGGCGTGTCCTTGAGTCTTTCATTATATGGGACTTGCTCTGGACACCTGCAAATAAATGAGAAGAATGAAAAGAAGATGGAACAGTAATAATTTGACTGATGATATTACTCTTTTGTTCAATCATTGCCCCACACAATAGAATTTAATCAATCATCTTCTGTTGTAAAGGTGGAGAACTAAACCAATAATTCCCTTACTTTATCATCAATTGAATCTTGTTCGAGACTAAAGATTCTATTTTATAGAATCAATCCATTCACAGCTCACATTTCTTCTTTTCCTTATCAATGAATATGTCTCTTTACTTGTATGACTTAGATGTCATATTTCTCTTAACCAATGAATCACCTCACTTATCAAGCAGTGGGCTGCAGGCCAACTAATGAATGGATGTTCATTAAGTTGATGTAGAACAATGAGATTGAAGGAAAAAGAAAAACGTTACCAGACCTCTCCAAGAGCCAAGCTACACCTAGAATAATCTGCCAAGAAAGGTTCTATCCTAGTTCATTCCAAGGATTCAAGTCTGAGAAGGAAAAGGATACTGACCAAAATGAAGTATTCCAAAAAATCTATGCTAAAAAGTAACAGTAATCAAGGATCGAAATGGAAGTTAGGAAAAAGAGCTTAGGCTTTTATGAGAAATATCGAAGAAATTGGAGTGGTTAGGATGTCCCTGCATCGGATCACTAGATGATAATTTTTAAGGTGCAAAGTCACTTCAGGTTTTGATCCATTCATTAGTTTACATGCTTGTCTTATTCTTTACATTCACAAGTAATAAATCAAGAACAAATCTTGAAAAATATAACGTTGATACTGCCAAAGTAAGATTAGCTCAGTGGTAATTAACAAATACTCTTTCTTTTGGGATTGAAATCCTCATACTCCCCATTTTAAACTCAAAAAAAAAAAAAAAAAAAAAAAAA